CTGACAGGTGGAAAATAACATTTCACTCCTACACTATTTTTACAGTGCTGTGTCAGCCCACACAATCCCTGATTTTTTTATTATTATTTGAATGTGGGCCCCTTTCACTAAAAGCAAGGGATGCTCCGGGTCATGTGAACAAAAATATCTTAGTGCATCCCTTCGTCTGGTGAGGATACAAAGTCTAGCTCGAGGACACTTCAGCAGAGCGCTGTTTGAATGTGCTCCTAGGTGAACGTGTAAACAGAGGAGGCTCTGCTCTAGATCACGCTGCTGTGAATGCTTGCTGGAGGGCACAGCTGCTCTGGCAAACGCTAGGCTGGTTCTTTGTGCAAAAGCCATGAGGGCCATGCAAATAAGCTGATGGGAAAGGACCTCACAAAAACAGGCTTCAGTCACTGAGCAGACTGCATTTCACAGCTGACCTACACCGACGCAGCAACGAGCCCGAGCCAATTTACATTCAAGCAGAAGGAAAAGGTTTATGGCCTATGACTGAAGAAGACAGTGTCAAAGCACATACCTACAGTATATCTATGACACGCTACTCATTAAAACAGATATTCTGTAAGATCGTTCAGCTGCAGCGCAACTGTTACACAATAGAAACAATCCTAAACATCTTCTAGCGGACTCTTTGACACAAACACAACTAAAGATGACACTCAGTGAAGTGAAGCTGACCTTGCTATCAAGTTTTTTCATGGTCACCAGATCCAGCGATTTGAGCGAGTGTCCCGTTGGAGCGATGAAGTACAGGCACGCGTGGATGCGGGTGTCGTGGTAGCTGTGTAGCGTGCGCTTGATTTTCAGCTCCTCCTGTAGATATGCTTCAAACTGGGCATCAATAAACTCCACAATGGACTTGTAGCTGTTAAAAGATGAGGGACAGAGAAAAAATTTTGTCAACACACCACAGCATCTGAAACCAGCAAATATTAAGCTTTTTTTTTTTTTAAATATAAGCTACATTTCTTATCTAAATAGTAAGGCATTAATATTCAGGATATCAGCGAATCATTGCAGCACTAGAGTCACTGTTATATATAAAGTATACTGAAAGTATAGCTACACAGAAGATGACTGTGACTTCTAAAGACTTTGTCTCCTCTGGGAAAATCATCTCTTTTTCTATACTTTAATTATAATCATTATCCAACAATCTGCAAGGAACCTAGCAGAGTAAAAATCCACTACAAAAAGAGTCCGATCAGATTGGGAGATTTGAGTTCTCACATGTTTCTCCTCATGGTAACTTCAACAAAACTTCAGGGCTGCAGTGCATGTGTGAAAACGCCTGCAGTCAGAACATGTGAGAGCAACTACCTGGTAAACATGATTAATTTTTAACTAACTTTACAGAAGCAATGATCAATTTTGCTGTGTGTTAGGACAGACTGTCTTATCTGAGCAGGTTTAGTCTAAAGCAGGGAGATTTCAAACAAATGGGCATTTCAAGTCATACTTTATACTCATACCAGGTCAGATTCTTGATGTTTGAAGTTTTAGAGTATTTGATTTATCCAAATAACTAATTCAATCTCATCTGCAATGACACATGCGAGAGAAAATGAACAAAAGAGAAAGATGTTGGCCGGTTTATTGAGGACTACAGGAAGCTTCAGAAGGCATCCACCCTTTCCAGAAAACAGACCCATAAACACTGTGGGAAAAAAAACCCACAGCTTATGTAGAAAGTATAGGATATTCTGCCTGCAGCAGTGTATAAGATAGTTTAACCCCATGTTACTTCCCCTGGGATTTCCAACAATTGCAGGATTCCCATTGTACAGAGCTTACAAAGTTCACACAGTCTCCTCCTCTTCCTCAACTTAGCCTCTGCAGCACACTTAAGGTTTGGTAACAAAATCGTGGGTGTATACAGCAGCTTGTCATATCCTAAGGCTGTGATTTGCTTCTCATGCCAGACAGGAAAGCAGCTACATCTTAATTTCTGTTTCCCAAAACTGATGAGGAAACTACTTCACTTTAGACATCTGATGAAAGAAAGTTAAGCAACGAATGACACATAAGCTGCGGAGAGGCTTCAAGTACTCCCAAGATGTCAGGTTTGTCTGGGATGTATATTGCTCCCACTGAAAGATCCAAATAAAAGAACGTTGTGGAGTTTGACGTCCCCCCTCTCTCAAAGATGAAGCAGCTAAAAGTGGCTGACTTACCTGTCTTCTTTATTGATCTGGTCTCCAAAGCCCACGGTGTTGACGACAGCGAGTTTGAGGCGCACGTTGCTCTCCTGAAGTTCATAGGTGTTGGACTTGAGTGTGACTCCCGGCTGGTTGTGCTGGGTGGGCTCACCTTCAAACTTGGTGTTGAACAGCGTGTCCATCAGAGTGGACTTACCCAAACCCGTCTCACCTGCACAACAAAGAGAAAATACATCAAGTTACTATCTTCATCTTACTATTACATCATTCAAATCACATGTCTTCATCTTTACTTACAGGGCAGTTGCTATTATTTCACTAACTGGAAATAACTCCCAAACCAAAAGGAATTTAATGACAGGCCCTTTTCTTTGATCAGCTTTTGATATATTTCAGCTCAAGCCACTCTCTCTGACACTACAGTTGTGTAACTCAAGCAAGAAAAAAAAGGTGCCTGATAATGTTAGAGTACATTAAAAACAATGTATTGAATATGCTTAAAACAGAGTGTATTACTCTCAAATGCTTAAAGCCACAAAAACAGCAGCAGTAGCTGCTATGTAATGTACTCTGACATCCATTTACTGTTAGATGACTCAGATACTGAGCTCCATCTGTAAGAAAATCTATTTTTATTCATTATAGCCTGACCTACAGTCCAACCATGGTAGCCCATTTTTGTGGGACATCTTACAACATCCCTGTTTTTCTCTGAAAATACCACAAGCACACAGACACATGTTTCTGAGCAAAGCTCAGGTCACAACAGTTAAAATTTTGCATCTTGTTAGAAGAAAGTGAAGAACACGTGGAAAGGACAGGATGGGTCAATGTGTGAAGTAAAGGCCAAAATCAAAAACAACACAACAGAAACATTCTGCAGACATACCAGTCATCTTTGAGGCACACATCGTCACATTTTTGCTTGAGTCATACAGCAGCACTTACAGTTTGGAACAAAACTGTGGTTTTTCTGCAGCGTCGTCTTTGCATCCATATTTTGATTGGATTGTACTCATGTTTTTATAGATTATTTGGAAAAACTGGCAGTCAAAAAGCATTAAAAAGTAACATTATGAGAAAAAACACACATTTCACTCCACTCCGGAGTATAAATAGAATCTAGAGGATGTGTTTAGCTTGGAGGAAACTCAAAAGCCTGTCGCTCGTGCCCACCAATCATTTCATCATCAAAAAGTCTTAAGTGGACATATTCTGCTCATTTCCAGGCCCATATGTTCATTCTTGCACTTTACTAGAGTATCTTTGCATGTTAACAGTTTAAAGTAATCCCTCAGTTTAGCCCCTCAGTTTATTCTTTGTCTGAATTAAATCTTTTTAACTCCTCCCATGTTCCCTTTAAGCCACCCTCCTTCTGATTGTCTCCCCCTTGCAAGAAAAAAACAGCAGCTTTGAACAGCAGATGGGCCAGAGCTGTGTGCCCGAGATAACCACATTACAGATATCCCCTTTAAGTGACATCATAAAGAGCAGAGAGTTTAAAAAAAATCCTGAATGAATCCTGAGCTTTTGCTTCACATGGATTACTTGTGTATACAGTGATCTCATGATCTGAAACCTTTGCCTGGTTTAATATGAACATGCACCTGTAGAAAATATGAGACAAATGCATAACAGGTCTAGTTTGAAATAAATAAACACAGGGTAGTAATGTAACGTAATCTAATTTGCAGCACATCACAAAAACACATTGTATTCAAGGTTAAGGGGAACTATCAGAGTTCCCACAGCTTTCTATGGTTTTAAATGTTATAGCTCTGCCATCAGAGATGTTTAGTTAAATATTCAAGCAAGAATACTGAAGTTAGTCACAAACTAAGTTCCCCCACAAAAGAAGATCCCATTGTTTTAATGCTATTACATCCACTGCAGTTTTTGTTTTTGCTAACTCACTGCCGAGCTGATGACTGATGAGTATTTTTGAATGTTGTTGTCTGCTAAGACTCATCTTTCATGTTACTTCCTGTGCTGCTCTGCACATATTTTATTGCTTTCTGGACATTTAACATGTTCCAGAAAGGAAACCCTAATGATATATGTTTGTATTTTCAAACAAAAACATAATATGAATACTTCTGTTTTCTATAAATACAGTATCATAAACTATAACCTCCACCTTTCTCCCATTTTATTACTTGCTGTTTTTCTTCCTGCCTGTCAACTCTGGCACTGACATATTACACATGCCTAACCTGAACAATAATAGAAACGATTAAATAAATATATAAATAAAATGGAAAAGACAAACAAGAGGAGCCTAAACAGAGTTCTGAAAATGCAAATATGTTTGACATAATGACACATTCAGATCCTGTTTCTGAGTGCAAGTACTGCCAGACATGACAGGCCTTTACAAAAATACTAAAACCTCCACAATAGCAACAAAATGCCATCTAAATAAACTGAACATTATTTTCTCCATTCAGCTAGGGCTGCTGAATGGCTGTATTAGATTAGTTTTAGTGGGATGCTAATAAATTGGCAACTGAGTGCACATAATTGAATACTTCCAGCACTTAATAAGGCTGATGTGACTTGGTTCTCCAGTCTAAAATTAAACTTATAGGGCATCATTTCTGACTGTCCTCTACATCCTGGAGCAGGCTTGTATCCTGCATTCAGTGTTGCATTGTTTTTTTAAACAGTCTTGCATATTCAAATTAAATAACCACCAGCAGACACTTGACTTTCCTGAACTAAGAGCATCTTACTCATTACAGTAACCAAAGCAAGCAAAGAGGAAACTGAGAGTCAAACACTGAGCAGCTTTAATCTTGTGGAAACACTTGAACTGAAGCAAAGACATTGTGCCTGAAGACATAGAGAGGAAATCTCACATGACACACTCACCAACACAGAGGATGTTGAAGCAAAATCCGTGGTTGACAGACTTGTTGACCAGCTGGTCAGGCATGCTGTCAAAGCCGACATGGCCCGATAGAGGGACAGCACGAGCTCCTTCACCCTAAAAACAAAAGACATAAAGCAACAAGTCAGTGCCTTTCGATCGCTAAACACCTTCCACGTCTGTAAGCACGTGCAGGATTCCTTCTAACGTGCTGAAATATGCATCGCAACGACAGCTGTCCTGTGTAAATAAAACCGTACCATGCCTTCGACCATTTTTTGATCACGTTAGTCTTTGACAATGAGTTCAGGTGCAGTGCTAACTCACTTCCTGCTTCCTGAGCTGTGACTTTCTTCCACAGACGAGACAGTTAGAAACCACAATGTACATATATGGAAAGGTACTGCTGTTTGTGTCAAGACAGAGCGTTTAGAAAAAATTAGGGGGGAAAGAGAGCTTACTGTTTAAAAATTTAAAAAAGAAAAGAAAAACGGATAAAAGCATTAGCATAACTGGCACTGAGTTTTGGGGTTTTTTTTTAAACTTCCTCTTCTGAGCTTATTTCACTTCCATTCACTCTATCACACTGTTTATAGACAACCTGTATCTGAACCACTAAACACAACAAGTGTAAAAACACTGTTGTTACATATGTGTGTGGGTGTGTGGCTGCTGGTAAGCATCTCCATCAGTGTGAACCTCCTTTCTGCAGCCAACGTTTTGCAGGAAAACAAAAAAATGTAGATTATATGGCAAAAGAAAGAATATCTCAACCATTTCAACCTCAGACAACCAGCTATTATGTGGCTTAACATAACACACTGTTGCAGTCCAATGTGGTGAAGATTTCTGGGAGGAAAAACACTCTGTTTTAGACTCCATTTAAAATAACTGAGCAAGCTGAGGGCACTAAACAGTTGTGGATTATTTGGATGGCTGAAATTGGGTTTAAACAGCTGAGGGAGTGTTTGGAAAACTGGACAACCAGCCCTATACTCTTCAGCTGCAAGTGCAACATTCCTGAGACCATTCCCGCTTTTCATGACACTCACAGCCAAGTTACACACAGTGAGCGGGTTTCCATTCACTGGATATGGATATCAAACTGTAAAACCTTGCTATTCTCAGCCCTCCCTCTGGGTTACGCGGCTTCTTTCCAAGCCCCCTCCCAAAAAAGGCAAACTTAGACCACGATTTGTGCATTGCACGGCCAAATGTCTACAAGGAGCTACGATCTATTTGTCCGTAATATTCATTAAGACAACGCCCGGAAAACAAAGTTGACGGGTCTTGCATAAAACAACATAACGGAAATGAGCATCGTAGCCGTGCCGAAATGGGGGCGTTCAGAATGAATGGCCTACCTATGGCTCTGTAACAGCCTCTCGTTTTTATGTGAGATAATAGATAAGTCGGTTACTTTAAAATTTAAATGTCTTAATCTGTTAATTCCGTTTACAGGGTAATTTAGGTTTTTACCAGTACAGGAAATCTGCAGGCGTTAGCATACCAAAATGAAAATATTCTACCGGAGAGCTTCGACTGTTGAGTGCTGGGCCTGAATTTGATATCTGGTTAAATCTTGTTTTTATACCGTGTTTAGGGACGCATAATCAGATTTCTATTAGCTCTAATTATAATTGATCTAATTAAGCCACGGTACACTGGATTTGGATGGAATAGCCACGAAAAACGGATGGTGGCTGGGTAAATCTGCTTGAAATTATACACTCTTCTGCGAAACGCTTGATCCATAACAAAAATATATAAGATAAATACATGAATTCCAGTGTGAAACAGGCTACTTACCGCTTGCCTTGCTATCTCAGTTGACGCCATAGTAGCTGCTGTTAGCCGGAGGACGAAACCTCTGCTGCTCTGTTTAGCAAAGGAAGCTGCACCGTTAACGTTACACCGAAAGATGGCCTAGCAGGAATGTACCACAAACCAATGCGCTTTTAGATATGATATTTTTAAAAACTGTACCCATATTATGTATTTCTTACTTATTAAATATAAGCTACAGGCATACTCCAAATGATTTATTTAGAATTTTGCTTCGTAAAAATAATAAAGATATAAATAAAACTATTTACTGTACCCCCCCTCAGGATGTCGCCATGGTTCCGTCTGGTGGTGGAGACGGCGATCCGCAGTCAGTAAACGACACATTCGTGTCAGTTAAGAACAAACGGTAAAACCAACGCGGCAACGATCAGTCAAGGAAACTTTTTAAAGTGTTTATATAACTTCAAAAAATTAATCACTGTCCCAAACACACTTAGGCGATGTATGTAAGCACGGAAAGTAATGTTTATGGTTTATGGGTTTTACGTGAGAACTAACACGAATTCCAAATAAAGATCAGGGCTGTATTTGCTAAATACGTAATTGATTTAGGGTTATTGTTGTTTTACCATTAATTAATACATGATTATAAATATGTGCCGTGCATGATATAAATATGATAGCAATATAAAAGCATTTCTGTTGGCAGATTTTTTTTTTTTAGCGTAACGCCCATTTCAAGTCATGTGTGCTACATCGACCAATGGGAGGTGGACAGTGAATTTAAAAACGATTCGCGGTAGCAGCTGTACAAGTTTTCGTACCAAAACAAGTTTGTGATCTGGGAGCAGCTAGCGGCGACTATCACAGAGGACTGAGGTAATGTTAGTGTTAACGGTCTGTTAAAGCAAATGTTGACTTTATTAGCAGCGACGGTAAGTTTATTAAATGGTGTAGACGCTTTGTCAATGCTAGCGTGCTAGCTAGTTAGCTCACTAAAGCAACATTTTGATTCTGTATCTCCTTTTTGTTTTAAGACTACCCCAAAATCAACCTTTTCTGTTCAGCAGAAGTTTTATTCGTTATGGTGGAAGTGTTTTGCTTAACTTTACTAAACTTACTACAATGTGTTGCTGTTTGGCATCCAATAACATCAGTTTGTACTCGTATGTATTTGCATAAACTGGAGACAGGGATTAACTCATTTCCTTAATGAGTTTACCCGTGATTGAACACTACATCTAGTGTTAATCAATGCTATATTATTTCTATTTTATCGAAAAAAAAATTCCTATAAAAAAGAAAAGCCGCTAGGAGGCAGCACTCTTTATTTTGATTAAAAAAAAAAACTCAAATAATTTTTCCAATCATATGGTTAAAAGGGTCCGCCAGAGCTATGCAGTTACTTGAAATTTAATGTAAATAACAAATAGTCCCAAAGTGTTTTGTTTTCTCTTTGTGCTGCTCCCTTTTAAAGACCACCACAACAATCTCAGTATCCCTGTCATGCTCCCCTGTCAAACCAACCCTCTGCATGTATCCAAACCATCTCAGCCTTATAACTCTGACTCTATTGTTCCATCTGAGCTGTCCCTCTGATATACTCATTTGGTCCTGTCCATCCAGATCACTTCCAGTGGGGGGAAGAAAATAACCCTGACACCTCCTTTGCTAACATCTCCAAACTGTACATCACAGCAGGCCTCACTGTTTTCATTACACTGAGCTAAAATAAATTAACTAGTTTTACCAATTTGTTTTGGTCTTTTCTTTCAGTGCTTTACTTTCCAAATTCATTCTATTTTGCAGACTTTTATTTGTTTTGGTTTGAATTATAATTGCATTAGAAACCATCTGCTGCAACTTGTTGGAAGTTCAGAGGGAGATGAATGAATCTGATGTATGTTTCAGAACCTCAGGGTCACCTCAACTCTTAACTATAAGCTTTAGAAAAAGGATTTACACCTAACTTTTAACAGTAGAGCTGTTGTCAGTTTCCGGACCCCAAAGTAGAAGCTGGTTCAGTACGAGCAGGCTGAAGGCGCTGCCTCCAATTCTACTTCTGGAAGCTCTAGGGACTGAAATTAAGCCTGCACTCTGAGAGCGAAGTGCTTTGTTTTAATATGGTGCAAGAGGTCTTTAAGGTATGATAAGTAGAAGCATGTTTGCGGCAACAATGCTGTATCCTGTAATGCTGCCAAACTTGCCATTAGTTCCAGCACTGTATTCATAAAAGGGTACTGAACTTAAAGCAGTTGGCTATCAGGAGTTGATGCTCACCCAACTCTTTACTCGGGGGGGGAGTCCCATTCACAGACATACAAATGCTGATTGTATTCAGTTTAGTATTATATGACAAAAGCAAGAAAAGGGCTCGCCTGTTAAGAGGCACTCTTTGCTGTAATGTATTAAACGCTGCTATAGAAATTCTCTCCCTATATAAAGCGTTGCAGTAGCCAGTGTCTTCTTTTTTGCAGATGGACAATATAATCTTTGCAGAGCGGGAAAATGCAGGTCTCCATGCACCTACACAGAAAATGAGGCAGCGGCTTCAGTCTGCTCCAGGTATCAAAATTATGTCTTTGGTCAACTTTCTTTTTTTCTTTTCTTGAAATGCTGATAACGTTTCCATAGGTGCCACGTTAACTTTTTTTGTCCCTGCATTCAGAGAAACTAGTCAAATCTCCTACAAAAACATTCAGCACCCCCTTGCCATCTGGACGTAAGGCTTTTGGCTGCCTTAACGTAAAAGTCTCGACCCCTGCCATCAGCAAACAAGAGAAGAAACTCTTAAAACAGGTTGGACTATATAATTATTCAAGTATA